ACAGATGGAACAAGCTTCTTGGACAAAGCGATAGAAACAAGAGGCTTAAAGCAGATCTAATGTGTGAAAGGAAAACAGAACAGAAAGCAATACCAGACAGGAGAATAACTACAGTAAATCCTGGGTCAACTCACCAATAAGATCAAGTCAACAGGAAAACATCAGCCCTTTGATTGGCTGGGATGTAAATTTGAGGGAGAGTTACGATACTATCCATTTTTTGTGGGCTGTGTTGCAAAGAAAGTTGAAGTTTCAATAAGCTAGTTAAATGACTAACAAGTTAATGATAAAATATGTGGATTTAGCCAAGATTCCTAAAATATGGAATGGCCACATGGTACCACCCTCTCCAGGCAATCCTGTGAGGCTTTCCTGGAGGCTGGAACACACTGGCAGAAAACTGTAGCAGGGGAAGAGAGAGCTATTAGTACAGGGACAACAGCCTATCCAAAGATCTGGTGGCTCTAGGAGTGTGGACTTCCTAGTTTTCAATTGAAAGGGCCATGCACCCCATAAGAAAAAGATTTGTCCTCTTTATCATGCATATAAGTGGGTCTATTCTTAGAACTAGAAGCATAAAGCATACTTCTTGATTATTCACTCTCTTTAAATCCCTCCCAAGTCCAATAGCCATATAGAAAATTATTCCATTTTGAATTTCAATTTTTTTTTAAACAGTTTCTCAGTCTGTCACCCAGGCTGGAGTGCAGTGGAATGATCAGAGCTCACTGCAGCCTTGGCCTCGCAGGCTCAAACAATTCTCCCACCTTATCCTCTTGAGAAGCTGGGACTACAGGCACATGATACCATGACTGGCTAATTTTTGTGGAGATGGGGTTTTGCTATGTTGCCCAGGCTGGTCTCAAACTCCTGAGCTTAAACAATCCACCCACCTCAGCCTCCCAAAGTGCTGAAACCTCCAAAGTGTTGGGATTACAGGTGTGGGCCACCACACCTGGCCTGAATTTCGATTTTAACCTTGTATTAATTGAGCAAATACTATATGCCAGATTTGTCCTACACACTGGGAATATAAAACTACAAAACAAAATCTCTGCCCATAAGGAGTTTGGTCTATAGGTTGAAAGCTGCATAATTTTGAAACTATGTATTAAGGAATAAGCACAAGGGAATTGTGCTTATTAATAATTGTGCTTAATACATAGTTTAAGCACAAGGGAATTGTGCTTAAACTATGTATTAAGGAATAAGCACAAGCCTAATTACATAATTTTGAAACTATGTATTAAGGAATAAGCACAAGGGAACATAGAGGGGGCAAATCTAAACTAGACTTTGAGATTGATTATCAGAGTAGGTCATGATAGAGCAGGATCTCAAAGTAGGAGTTATCCTCAAAATAAGTAAGGACAAAGAAGAAAAGACTAAGGAAATAGCATGTTCAAAACATCATGGTAAGAAGAAAGAAGGTGGTGGAGAAATTCTACTTCTTGCTATAATGAAGTAGCCTGAACATACCAACCACCTCAACTTGGAAACAACCAGGAAAGTTGGGAGAGGGAGGATGAATATAGATAGATATAAATATAGGTCAGCCTCCAACATAGTGAGATCTATTTGAGGGGCTAAGATAAAAGCGAGAAGAAGCTCATTGATGTGAGCTCATTATTACACATGTCGTTATTTCCCTTTGGGCATCTGCTGATTTTTCAGCTTTTCAGGAGAGAGGCTGAGAAACTGGGCAGAAGACTGCTCCTAAGAGATAGAGAAACTAGCAGAGCTTCAGCAATTTCATAAGGCTGAAGAGATAAAAACCGGAGTTTAGACTTCCCAAAGCACTCAAGACTTTAAGGGACCAACATCTCAGAGGAAAGTGAGAACAGAAGCGTGGAGAAGTGATCTTGACACTCAGCAGGAAAATCCCTTAAGGATATTGGTGAATACCTTGGCAATACTCCAAGAAAGTAACCAAACAAAAACAAAAACAAAAAAATCAAAACAACAACAACAGCAAAAACAGCTAAAAAGCTTCCAGCTGTCTGGGGGTAACTCAGAAGATTTCTGAAAGGCCCAGCATGCTGAGTTTGAATCCTACACAGCCAGTAACCATACAGCTGGGGACAAAATAGCAAAAGAAAATGGCCAACCAAAACACAGAACTATTCTAATGGAAAAATACTGCCACCAATGCCTGGCATTTTGACACTCACAATACAAAGACCACATGCCAGAAAATACACCACAGCTGTTTCCAGAAGAACCAGACGCCTTTGATACACTGCTTCAATAAGAAACAAACCCCCTGCCCAAGGTCTCTTACCTCCTAGTTTGTGGGGGTGCATCTGGGAAATAGAATGCACCCACATGTGGATCTGTGGGTGGATATGATATCATATGTGGATCCCTTCCTTCAGGGAAATCTGAGAAATGTTATTTTAGCTTTCTAACCTCTGTAATATCCAAATGCAAACCAGAAGTGGATTGGCATGGATGCTGAGTGAGCTAAATTCCAGTACATCTCCAAAGCTCCAAACCACTAGAATGCATAAAAGGGGTTCTAGAAAATCCAGTCAAAAAAATTAGAATGCAGGAAACAAGGAAGGAAAGCCTTATAAAAAGAAAGGTAGGTTTCATTTTCCAGCATCATGGTCAAATACATGCCTAGAATAACCCTCCTGAAAACCAATAAAAAATAAGATATGCAAAATATTTTTTTCAAAATGCATCTCAAAAGGAAATGAGGGAAATCTCCAAAAGCCAAAAATAGATTGAAAGCAGGTATCCAGAAAGATAAGTTAGTACTGATTTTTCTTTAAAAAAGAACACCCTGAGAGCATCTATACATGCCTGATAATCATCAACTTGCATTTTTATGTCAATTTCAGTGGCTAACTCATTTTTAAAAAGTGATAATTACAAACTTTTAGTACTTAGCTTCATAATATATGAAGCAAAAATTGATAAGGAAAATTTAATGAATGGAATTTTTTTTAAACACAACACTTTCTAAATTATAGATCAAATAATTTATAGATCTAATTTATAGATCAAAATTTTTTTTTTGCTATAAAAATGTTTTATTAGGCCAAACTACTTACTATGAAAATGCCTTAAAATGCAGCAGGAGGAGATGTAAAGACCCAAAGAAGTGTGTACTGACAACGGCTATCAGCACACACTAAAGAATCCACACCGCTTCCCCACTTTACCTAGAAAAGGAAGCTTCTAGGCTACCTCCTCAAACTCCTCCTTCTCAGCTGTGGCATCTTGGCATTGCTGGTATTCTGACATCAGAATACCAGGAAATAGGAAAAAAGAATAACAAGTACATACAATATTTGAAAAACACAATTAAGTACCTAAGATATAAATATGTATAGCATATTCCATATAACAATTTGACAGTACTCTTTAATTTTGAGCATAGAGAGAACACATATAGATACTAAATATATATCAACTAAAAAAGTGAATTACAATAAATGTCAAATTATTTAGCGTCATACACAACCTCTCCACAATGCAATTGAATGAGAAATCAATGACAAACTAGAAAAGCTCCACAGGATTGGAAAATTTTTAATGCCCACTTTTAAAGCAATAATGGGCTAAAAAGAAACCAAAATAGAAACTTAAAAATTATTTAAAAGATGATAATAAAGAAAATATTTATATGATGCAGTTATAGAAACATTTAGAGGGACATTTAAAATATAGGCTTAAAATGCCTATATTTTAAACAGATAAAGGTAAGAAATTAATGACCAAAACATCCAACTCAAGTTAAAAAAAAAAAAGGGACAAGTTAGAAAATGAACAAAATAATTTATCCAAAGAAGGTAAAAAGAAGCAAGTAATAAGATGAAATTCAGTTAAACATAAATCAATGCTACATTATACAGAAGATCAAAATAAAAGCCAAAAGTTGGTTAAGCCTTGTATCACAATGTAATATTCTTTATTTCTGAGAATGCTTTTTGCTTTTGTTGTTGTTATTTGTTTAGGGTTTATTTTTTCATTCTATTACTTCTAAACTTTCTGTGCCCTTATATTTTTAGTGTGTTTATTAGAAACTACGTATAGCTAGAATTTGTTTATCAGGGTGACAATCTCTGTCTTATAACTGCAGTTTGGTTCATTTATGTTTACTTAATTATTAATTCACTTATTCCTTGTCTGCTTTTGGATTTTTTATTTTCATTTGGCCATTTTATTTTCCCCTTCAATTGTTTATGAGCTATACTTTCTATAATTATTCTCTTTCTAGTTAACCCTATCTTTACTCTCCTTTTAAAAAATATAAGGATCTTAAAATGCCTGTACTCTAATCATTCCCTCCTGACTTATATGCTAGTACTGCCCGGGATGTTTGTTTATATATAAAGTTTTATATATATAAATATTATATATATATATATAAAACTAATTAGACATTAAGTTTTTATGTGATTAATGCTGGTTTACATTTCTTCATGTATTTATCATTATCCCTATTCACTATTTCTTCTGGCATCATTTTCTTTGACTTGAAAGACATCTTTTAGAATTTCTTCTGATTTCTAAACTCTGAGTTGTAAGTTCTCTATTTTGTTTGCCTGAAATGTTTTCATTTGTTCCTGAAAAGTAGTTTGGTGGATACAGAATTCTAGGTTGAGGACAATTTTCTCTTATCACATTGAGGATATTATGCCATTGTTTTCTAGCTTTTATTGTTGCCGTCATTTTAACAGTCTTCTTTTGTAAGTCATCTGTCTTTTTCCCAGCTGCTTTTAGGATTTTTAATTTTTGTTCTGTTATTTCACTATTGGGTGTATAGTTGTGGGGGTTTTTTTGGTATGCCCTGCTTTAGGTTAGTCAGCTTTCCTGGATCTGAGGTTTAGTATGTTTAAATAATTCTGGAAAATTGGCTGGGCAGAGTGGCTCATGATTGTAATCCCAGCACTTTGGGAGGCAGAATGATTGCTCAAGCCCAGGAGTTCAAGACCAGTCTGGGCAATATGGAGAGACTCCACTTCTACAAAAAAAAAAAAAAATTTAAGTAGCTGGGTGTGGTGGCAATGGTAGGAGCAGCCCATCTGGAGTGGCTGCTGCGAAGATGCTGCCTGCAGCACAGGGGAGGGGAGGCCTGGCTGACGCCACCGTCTCCATGGAGCTGGCGGGAACCCTCCCCCTTCCAGTTGGTTGACTGGGAACCCCACCCTTCCAGGTGCAGCTGCAGCCGCCCAACCACAGCTGCCAAGCTGGGTATCCCTGTTCTCTCAGGGACCTGGGAAGCCTCCCCTGCTTCCACAGGCCTGGAAGTGCCTGCTCCCAGTGCCTGGCCTCTCCCTTTCCTGCCACCCACTCCGATTTCAGCTCTGAGGGTGCTGACATGCCAGTCCCTTGCTGCCTCAGCCCCCTCCAGACTTTGGGCACTGAGGAGCATGGGGGGGAATCTGAGGGGGCACTGAGGGAGGCTTGGCATGACCCTGCAGGTGCCCCTCTGCACAAACAACCTGGGTACCATGGGAGACATGATTGATGGTGGCAGGAGGCAGCCAGGCTCCTGGGCAGAAAGGGGCGGGTCCTGGAGAAGCCCCACCTTCAAGCCAGGGACAGCCTGAGGCATGGGGGCCAGGTTGTCAGTTCTGGGTGGAGTCTAAAGCCTGGAGTGAGAACTTATGGTGTTTTTTCCAGGCCTGCCCATGGCCACCTGTGGACCAATCAGCATGCACTTCCTCCCTTGGGAAGTCTATTAAAAACTCTACCCTTAGCCAGACTCACAGATATGTTGGGCGGACCAGCTGTGGGAAGGAGCTACTCAATTCAGGTCTCCTCGACTGGTCTGGGACATCCTGCCTGCAGAAAGAAGCTACTCTGGGTCTCCTTCCCGCTGAGAGCTGGAAGGACAGCTTTGCACAAATGCTCCTCAGTGCCCAAAGTCTGGAGGGGGCTGAGGCAGCAGGGGACTGGCATGTCAGCACCCCCAGAGCGGAAATCGGAGTGGGTGGCAGGAAAGGGAGAGGCCAGGCACCGGGAGCAGGCACCTCCAGGCCTGTGGAAGCAGGGGAGGCTTCCCAGGTCCCTGAGAGAACAGGGATACCCTGACAGAAGGACTGGTCAGGACAGCTTGCCAGAGCTGTTGTGTCACTCAATGAAGCTCCTCTCTGCTTTGCTCACTCTCTAGTTGTCTACCTACCTCATTCTTCCTGGACACAGGACAAGAACTCAGGATGTGTCAAATGGCAGGACGGAAAGAACTGTATGTAACACAAACAGGGCTGAAACATCCCCCTGCAACTCATCACTTTGTGGGTGATGAGAAGGAGAGAAGAGCTGTGGTCCTTTGGGGAGCCCAGACCTAGGGGCTACCCAACCCTGGGCTGTGACAACCTCTTTGGGGCTCTGTGCTTCCTGGTGTCTCCAAACTTCCAGGCACCACTGCATTCACCTCATCCAATTTCAGGTGCAAACAGTAGAAGTTGTGTGCAGTATATCGGGTCCAACCGCAGCCTCGCACGGAGCCAGCACTTGGAACTGTGCCGCCCCCACCCCCACCACAGCAGCCTGTGTGCCTGGTTGTGTGCAGTGGCTGGACCCCATGCTCGCTTGTCCTTGGCAGGTGTGGGATCTAGGCTAGTAGCATGACGAATGCAGCCTGCCAGACTAAGTGGACACAAGGGGCAGAAGGCATGAGCAATACTCAGGCACAAGATGCCACCCACCACAGAGGTTTCTGGCTAAGTGAAACCCTAAGAGTCCGGTGGCAGTGGTGTGCACCTGTGGTCCCAGTTACTCAGGAGGCTGAGGCAGAAGGATCACTTGAGCTTGGGAGACCAAGGCTGCAGTAAGCTGTGTTTGCACCACTGCACTCCAGCCTGGGCCACAGAGTAAGATTCTGTCTCAAAAACATAATGATAACAATTCTAGAAAATTCTCAGCCATTATCTTGGAATATGCTGGTTTTTAATTTTTTATTATCTCCTTCTAGAACTCTGGTTACATGTGTGCTAGACCTGGCTATTCTGAAATGTCTTCATCACACCTTCACACTTCTTTGGTTATCTAGCTAAGCACAGAATTCTAGGTTGAAAATTACCTTCCTCAGAGATTTGAATGTACTGCTCAATTACATTCAACTCCATAGTATTTTACTTTCCAGTGTTGCTCTTGAGAAATATGATGTCATTCTATTCCCAATCCGTTGTATATGATGTATTTCTCTTTATGTCTACTTATTTACTTACTTATTTCCTCCTAATCACTAAATTGGAAACATTCACAATAATGTGCCTTAATATTGATCTTCTTCATCAATTATGGTCACCCCATTTAGTCAAGAAACTGTTGTCTTTCTTTTGCAGGAAATTTTCTTATATTGTTCCTCTGATAATTTTTTCACCTTCATTTTATCAGTTCTCTTTTTCTGGAAGTTTTATTGTTGAGTTTTGGATTGCAACATATCTTATGCATTTTTTTTCTCTCTAGTTTTCCATCTGTTTGCCCTTTTGTTCTAGTATATGGACAATTACTTCAACTTGATCTTTCTAAACCTATTCTCACCCCCAACCCTTTTTATGAGTACAAGTTTCACCCAGTCACCCAGGCTGGAGTGCAGTCGTGTGATCACAGCTCACTGCAACCTCAAACTCCTGGGCTCAAGCAGATCCTCTGCTTCAGTCTTCCAAGTAGCTAGGACTATAGGCTTGTAACACCAAGCTCAGCTAATATATTTTTTAAATTTTTGTAGAGATGGGGGTCTTGCATATTGCAGAAGCTAGTCTCCAACTCCTAGTCTCAAGCAATCCTCCTGCCTGAGCCTCCCTAGTCTCTGGGATAGTAGGAATGAGTCACCATACCTGGCTTCAACACTTTATTGAATTTATTTCATATATTATTTTCCTAGGATTCTGTTTCTTCTATACAGATTCCTTTTTATATCTTCTTATTCCTGCTTTCTTGGATGTACTTTAAAAATTTTTAAGGAGGATTTAATGTATATATATATATATATGCATATGTATATTTACATATATAAAACACAACACATACTTTATCCTTCTTCATTACCTTTTAAAATTCTACATATCCCTTTCCATCTGTGATTATTACAATTTCTGCCTTTCTGGGCTGGGCACAGTGGCTCATGCTTGTAATCCCAGAACTTTGGAAAGCTGAGGCGGGCAGATCACTTGAGGTCAGGAGTTTGAGACCAGCCTTGTCAACATGGCAAAACCCCATCTCTACTAAGAATGCAGAAATTAGCACCTGTAACCCCAGCTACTCAAGAGGCTGAGGCAGGAGAAATTGCTTGAGCCTGGGAGACAGAAGTTGCAGTGAGCTAAGATCACGCCACTGCACTCCAGCCTGAGCAACAGAGCAAGACTCTGTCTTAAAAAAAAAAAAAAAAGAAAAGAAAAAGAAAAGATTTGGTTACAAGATTTTCTCACATTCAAAGTGTTTAGTGTTCTTTGGCTGTTTCTTCGTTTTTAAGAATAAGGCATCAAAAAGCTAATTGATCCTGTGAGTCATGGCTGTGCTTTTCAACAGTTAAACTTTGCTGTAGAGCAGAGTTGCTCAAGAGAGGTGCTATTGCAATTATGAACTAGTGATTTCTTTGTTATGGGAAGCTGTCCAATGCACTGTAAGATGTTTAGCAGCATACCTGACTACCACCCTTTAGATGATGGTAGCATTCCCCTTTATTTGTAACTAAAAAATGTCTCTAGGCATTGTCAATGCCTAGTGGGAGGGAAGACCAAGTCGTCCCTGTTGAGAATCACCACTCTGGTGTGATCTGGCTAAGATTTTGTTAGGGCTCTAACCAAGCATTTCAAATTTATCTTTTTTTTCTTGTGGGATAGTCAGTTTTCACTGCAAAAGAAATGATCCTCTCTCCTGCCTGGAGGTTAACATCTGGCTATCAGCATTCTCAGAGCAAGCGTGGAGTCTTGCCATCAGGTATGTGGTTTTACACTCAGCTCTCCACCATCACCTTGCTCATTTTCTCTTTTTTCTTCTTTCTTAGTTTTTAGAGATAGGGTCTTGCTCTGTCACCCAGGCTGGAGTAGAGTAGCATGATCATAACTCACTTCGGTCTGGAACTCCTGGGCTCAAGCAATCCTCCTGCTTTGGTCTCCCAAAGTGCTGGGATTACAGGGATAAGCCACTACACGTGGCCCCCCGGCTCGTTTTCACTGCATCTCCTAACCCCACCCTCAGCTGTGCCTGGTGCCATCCAGCCCAAAGCTTGGTCCTATTCTTGGAGAACAACACCATTCCGGTCTCATATCAGGGTGGGAAAAACCATCACTAGGTCACAGAGTTGACCTAGTGATCTAACTTTCTCTTACATAGGCTTTCAACTAATCTTGTATTAACCTTATTTACATGATGATCTTAGTGGTGCTCAGCACCTTCAATTCCAGGCTTTCTGAGCTCTGTAGTGTGAAGCAATTTGCTTCTTGACTTCCACTACTTCTTAGGTTTTACTTTTTTCTAAGTTCTGCGAAGTTCATCTATACTAGCCCATTTGCTTTCCAGCTTCCAAAGGTTTTTTTCCCCATTTTTTTTTTCTGTTTAATTTGTCCTTGTGGATTCTTGCCATGTTAAAGTCTTTACTGTAACCTGAATAGCATTTTAGAAGCAAGTAAAGGTAAAAGCATGTATTCAACCCACTCTTTAATAAGAACTCTATTACAGCATGTTTTAATAAGATCTCTTGTAAGTTACTTTCTCTTGACTTAACCTCATTTACCACCTAAGCAGGGCCATTGGAGAAGAAATCGTGGGCCTGGGATCTTTCTGATTACCTGTAATACAGAAGATGACTTATCCTCTCAATGCTATTGCTGCCCCTAATTTCTCCGTACCTACTTGTCTTCCTTTGTGTAAGACAGAAACCGTGACATTTATCTCATTGAATGTGTTTTATCAGATCAGGCAAGAAAGTCTATGCTACATCATGAAAAGTGACTTTTCTAGGAAAAAAAAAAAAAGCTCCTACAGAAACACTAAAGTGTGCTCAACTGCGTTACCTACCTTCTAAAGCTTATCTAGATTAGCAGTGTTT